GCCATTCTGCTTGTTGGAGGAAACAGATCAGATTGGGAAAAAGGAGACACCTTTTGGGTATACCTTTTATACAGTTTTAACTTCACGTTAATGGTCAACATATTCAAAAAAAAAAAAATCAAGGGACCAGCAGTTAGCATAAGGGCTATGTTGCTGGACTCCCACGTAGTTGACGGCGGTTCGAGTCCCGGATCCAGGGTGGCATGGTGGTTAAAGTGTTGGACTCCCACATGGCTGACCATGGTTTGAGTTCCAAACCTAGTGGCTTGCTTTCTCTCTCTGTCATTCTCTGGTCAAATTTAAAGAATAGTTATAATAATAATAATAAATATAATTAAATAAATAATTCTTTTAAAAAATGAGTAAATCAATAAGAATGAATATAGATGCAAAGAACTCAACTCTATTATTATTTTTTTTTTTGAGAGGTCTTCGCTATAGGGCGTGTGCGCTCGCCAGACAGACAGAGACAGAAAGCGAGAAATCACCCCCCAGGGGGGATAGTCATGCCACAATCCCTTCTCCTCCATTCTCTTCTCAGGATCTTGGGCACGCACGCACATGTGCCCAGCGTGAGTTCTAAGCCACCGGGTCCGGGACATGAACCGCGGTCGACTACGTGGGAGTCCAGCAACATAGCCATTACGCTAACTGCTGGTTCCCCTCAACTCTATTTTTGATGAATAAAATGACCCATTGAAGAGGAAAAATATAATTAATCTAAGTAATTTTCTTTTCCTTTTTTTCTTTTTTGGAGAGGTTTTTGCTATAGGGTGCGTGCGCTCGCCAAACAGACAGAGAAACAGAGAGACAGAAAGTGAGAAATCACCCCCCAGGGGGGATGGTCACGCCGCAATCCCTTCTCCAGTCTCCTCTCGGGATCTTGGGCACGCACGCACATGTGCCCAGCGTGAGTTCTAAGCCACCGGGTCCGGGACTCGAACCACGGTCGACTACGTGGGAGTCCAGCGACATAGCCATTACGCTAACTGCTGGTCCCTAATCCAAGTAATTTTCAAACACCCTCAGTCTAAAGGGAAAATAACTGCGAACAAATCTTGAACTCTTCTTAGTAGGTCTGCTAAAGAGTTTAAGGACATGGCAGTTCTGTTTTTTTTTGTAGGGAATGTAATAGGACTAAACACATGAACAAATATATGGACATTGCTGGAGCCAGCAATCTCCCTGGGGGAGAAGGGAGATACACATGGTGTGGGGCTTACCAATAGGGAAAATGACCAAAAATTGTGAGATTGGGTTGGAATGGGAACTATCCATTCCATTAGTATAAAACCAATGGAAAAGACAGATAGACAAAGACTTACCTCTTGTCCAGATCTTGCTTTCTCAATACCATTCTTTGGTAAGAGGATCAAGGAATCTTTGGGACCAGCAGGTGGTGTGGTGGGTTCGAGTCCTGTACCTGGTGGCTCACTTTCTCACTTTCCCTTTCTGTCTCTCTCTGTCTCTCTCTGTGTGTCTGTCTCTCTCTCCGTGGGTATCTCTGGTCAAATTAAAATAAATGAATAAATAAATAGAATTAAATACACAGTTCTTTTTTTGGAGAGGTTTTTGCTATATGGTGCGTGTGTTCGCCAGAAAGAGAGACAGAGAGACAGAAAGCAAGAAATCACCCCCGGGGAGATGGCCACGCCGCAATCCCTTCTCCATTCTCCTCTCGGGATCTTGGGCACACACGCACATGCACTTGGTGTGAGTTTAAGCCACTGGGTCCAGGATGCGAACCGTGGTGGACTGCATGGGAGTCCAGTGACATAGCCATTATGCCAACTGCTGGCCCCGAAATAAACTATTCTTTAAAAAAAAAAAAAAAAAAAAGGATCAAGGAATCTTTCTACAAAGTACTGATTCCAGCCAGGGCAGGAGAAGAAGATACAGATGAGTTTGGAACATTTTGTTGTGCCAGAAAAAAATTACTAAAAACAATTTTGGGGGGACCAGCAGTTAGCGTAATGGCTTTGTCGCTGGACTCCCATGTAGTCGACCGTGGTTCGCGTCCCGGACCTGGTGGCTTAAAACTCATGCCGGGCGCGTGTGCATGCGTGCCCAAGATCCCCAGAGGAGAGTGGAGAAGAAGGGATTGCGGCGTGGCCATCTCCCCGGGGGTGATTTCTTGCTTTCTGTCTCTCTGTCTGTCTCTGTCTGTCTGGTGAGTACATGTGCCCTACAGGAAAAAAAAAAAAAATGACGGGGAAGGGGCATATGGTAATACAGCAGGAAGTCATGCTCTGAAGACAAATCCCACATGGGGAGGTTTTTGTTTCAATTCTGAAGACCTCCCTGGCACACTTGCCTATCATCCGGGGCTGGTTGAAGGCTGGGAATGGATCATAGTGTCAAGACCCTCTTGGGGAGGTGGTCTCTTTCTGCTTCTGTGTGTCTCTTGCTCACTGAAGAAATAAGTGGTTCAAGGCACTATATCCCACATGGCCGACTTTGCATTTTAAATCCTGGACCCAGCGGCTTGAAGATCATGCAGGGCCCATATGTGTGTTTCCAAAATCCCAAGAGGAGACTGGACAAGGAGGGATCGTGGCGTGGCCATCCCCCTAGGGGGTGATTTCTCATGTCCCCCCACCCCCTGTCTCTGCTGAATACACATGTCCTATAGCAAAAACTAAAACACTTTTTTAAAAAGAATTATTTATTTTATTATTATTAATATTTTTAATTTGACCAGAGAGAGAAAGAAAGTGAGAAAGCAAGCCACCAGGTCCAGGACTTGTACAGCAGTCAGCCATGTGGGAGTCCAGCACCTTAACCACCACGCCACATGCTGGCTCCAGAAACACATTTTTAAAGGGGAAAGGAGGCCTTGGCTCTGTGGTATAGCAGTAACGCTACGCAGGAGAAGCCAGATCCCACATGGAAATTGCAGTTCTAATCTCCAGTCCCTGGAACAAAGCAGGCATGTGTGCAAGTGCCCAAGATCCAGTGGGCTGGAGAACTGGAAGAAGGGATCACGGTATGATCAGAACCTGTGGAAGTTGCTTTTCTCTCTCGCTCACCCTCTCATGCATGCACTCTAAGAAAAACTTTATTATTTTTTAAGTATGGGACTAGGCGGTAGCACAGCAGTAATGCAGCTGGACCCACATGGAAGAGTCCTGGATCATGTCTTGGGACCTTCTGGTGCACACTGGGCACGTGCTTATGTGCCCGTGATGCAGCACCTGGCCGAGACGGGATGGATCATGGCACAGGGACTCCGTTGGGGGTGCCCATCTCTGTCTCTCTTTCAAAAAAAAAAATGATAACTGAAAAAATAAAAGTAGGGTCAGCAGGTGGCATGGTGGTTAAGAGAAGAAACAGCAGAAATCACTGGACTGTATTTCTCAAAAATGTCCATGGCGTGAAAGAGAAAAAGGTCAAAGAACTGTTCCAAATTAAAGGAGGTTAAAGTGACTTAACAACTAAATGGCATACTTGATCCTGGCCTAGATATCCCATACAAGGAAAAATGCCATAAAAAACATGGTAAGGGGCCAGCAGGTGGTGTGGTGGTTGAGGTGCTGGACTCCCACATGGCCGATCACGGTTCAAGTCCCAGATCTGGTGGTTTACTTTCTCACTCTCCTTTTCTCTCTGTCTCTCTCTAGTCAAAAATGGGAGAATAATGATATAAATAAAATTTAAAATAAACGAATCTTAAAAAAAAAGGTAAAAGTGGATGAATTTGGAAAGTAGACTATAAAGTATTGCATCTATGATAAATTTCCAGAGCATGTGATACCTCTAGACATGTAAGGATATGTTCTTATTAAATATACATTGATGTGTACACACACATACACAAACATGTAAAATACACATAAAATACTCGTGGCAAAATGTTAATAATTGGTAAATCTGGGAAAATATTATACTGAAGTTCTACTAGCCTTACCACTTTTCTATAAGTTTGAAACAAAATAAGGAATTTACACAAATAGTAAAAATTATTTGTCATCCCTAAAGTTAGGGAAAAGAGAATAAACCACCTAACTGTATATACTGAACACCCTGAAGCTCGTGGCTAAGTTAAAGAGCTGGTTTTAGCTAAGGGTACCTACCCTTAGAGAGTTCGCCAACGTTCACTGCATTTTATTCGGGTGTGTCTAAGCAGTAATCCAAGCATGAGACTCAAATGAAACATTCATCTAAAACTATGAGCTCATATTCCTCACTGAAGACACGTAAAGAGAAAGCAGCTGGGCATCAAGATGAGGCATTATGATAAAGCCAACCTGGGACCAGCAGATAGCTTAATGGTTACGTTGCTGGACTCCCACATAGTCGATCACAGTTCAAGTCCTGGACCTGGAGACTTAAAACTCATGCAGGCACATGTGCGTGCATGCCTAAGATCCTGAGAGGAGGATGGAGGAAAAGGGATTATGATGTGGCCATCCCCTCGGGGTGGGGGTGGGGGAGGATTTCTTGCTTTCTATCTCTCTGTCTCTCTCTCTCCAGTGAATACCCATGCCCTATAGCAAAAATCTCTCTTAAAAAAAAAAGAAAGATAAAGCCAACCTATCTCAGTCTCCCTGTCACAGCCTATAGGGACAACTCCTTCCTAAAGGCCCAAGTCTCTCAAATAGAGGCAACAGCTGGTAGCACAAAAAGCACAGTGTAAGGCCAGCTGGGCGGCATGTGGGTTAAGGCAGCTGGATCCTACATGGGCTATCACGTGGTTCGAGTTCTGGCAGCTTGAAAAATAGGCTGTGTGTGTGTGTGCGTGTACACGCACACACATGAATGTGTATGCCCAAAATTCCAAGGAGAATGGAGTAGAAAGGATTGCAGAGTGTTTGTGTTCATTCCCCCTGGGGAGGCGCGCCCTCGCGTTCTCTCTCTCTCTCTCATGAGTGCCAGTGTCCTATAGCTAAGAAATATATATATATGTATATATGTGTGTATTTATAGTAGTAATAATGGTATGTCCCAAGTGACAAGAATTCTAACCCTTTGTCTCTTACTTCCTCTTGACCAACTGGCAGAAGTGACTGGATCTCCGAGGCCCTAGTCTCAGTCTGTAAAAGGAGAGGCAGGACTAGATGAGGAATCCCAAACACACATGCCTACGTGGGACAGACAGGTAACCGAAAAGGGTAAAACAAGTGGCGCTGTACCAAATAGGGCAACGTATGCCGTTTAAAAGGAGTGTCTTTGGGACCACGGGTGGTGTAGTGGTTAAGGTACTGGACTTCCACATGCTTGACCACGGTTCAAGTCCTGGACCTGGCAGCTTGAACTTCATGCCAGGAGTGTGTGTGTCCATCTAAAATCCCGAGAGGAAAATGGAAGAGAAAGGATTGCAGCATGACCTGTGACCATCCCCCCATGGGTGGGTGATTTCTTGCTGTCTTTTTGGTTAGTGAATGTGTCCTATAGCAAAAAAAAAAAAAAGAAAGAAAAGAAAAAGTGTCTTTGGGGCCAACAGGTGGTGGTGTGGTTAAGACGCTGGATTCTTACATGACCAACCACAATTGAAGTCCTGAGCTCAGTGGCTTGCAAATCACACTGGGAATGTGTCTGTGCATGCCCAAAATCCTGAGAAGAGAATGGAAGCGAAGGGATTATAGTGTGGCCATCCCCTACCCTGGGGGGTGATTTCACACTCTCCCTCTCTGTCTCTCTTGTCTCTGTGGAGTGAGTGCATATGCACTCTATGGCAAAAACCTAAAAAATATAAATAAATGGGACCAGCAGTTAGCGTAATGGCTATGTCACTGGACTCCCATGTAGTCGACTGCGGTTCAAGTCCTGGACCCGACGGCTTAAACTCATGCTGGGCACGTGTGCGTGCGTGCCCAAGATCCCAAGAGGAGAATGGAGGAGAAGGGATTGCAGTGTGGCCAGAAAAGGAGTGTCTGCCTCTCTAACCAATTTCTGCCAGATAGGGATGTGTCCCAGTGAAGCCTGAAGTCTGTATTTGAGAAACGAAAAGTCTGAATTTTTTTTTTTTTTTTTTAAGAATTTTTTAACTTCATGAGGATCAGCGGGTGGCGTGGAGGTTAAGGAGCTGGACACTCCCACATGGCCAACTATGGTTTAAGTCCCAGACTTTGTGGCTTGAAACTCACACTGGGTACATATGAATGAATCCCCAAGATCCCGGAAGGCGAATGGAGGAGAAGGGATTGTGGTGTGGCCATCCCCCCCCCTGAGG